ACACTTTCTGCAGCCAAGCTCAGCAGTTTGTCTTTTCTGTTACCAAGAGAGCAAGTGAAGGAAGCTTCCCACATCAGGTCCATTTCCGAACGCCTGCTTGAGGTTTTCAGTTTAAAAGATCACTTTTTAGCCCCTTCAAATCCCCATGGTGCACATCCGAAAATGTGATATAATACAGATGTAATCCTGGATAAAGTACATTCCCCAGCCCTTTCCATTAAGTAAAATCAGTAACCAGAATCCCTGTTTAGGATTTGTGATTACAAGGATCACCCTCCGCCCTGCCCTGGTCAAACAATACGGGCTCCAGGAAAGCATGAGAGCCGTCATTTCAATAACGCAAAACCCTGTCGCTTCCACTCCAGAACAGCTGACTTGAAGTGCATGCTAGGCTGTGCTTATTAACAAAATGAGAAATCTGATATATAGAAAGAAAACACTATGTGGGGATTAATCCTGGATTGCAGTTTGTGGCCAGCACTGGGCCGTCATCCAAACACAGATGAAAAAGAACAAAATTTCTCCCACCTGTCATTTACAGCAGGTACAGCTATTGCAATGTTGTAGTCTTCTCCTTTACAGCTATTGTAACAACTCATTTTGTACCAGCTTAAAATTCAGGATTAACCTCACTGTTTCATTTCTTCCTTGTTTTGTGGGAGCCAGCACTGGAGGGTGAATTTTCTTTCCAGGAATTACAAACAAGAAGCGTGAGTAACTTACAAGTTTGGACAGCTAGCACAATACACGTACACTTCAAGGAAAGAAACCCAGCTTAAAACTGGCATCCTGTTGGAACCTGGAGATGCTAACTGAACAAGAAAATACGACTCTCAGGAACATCTTTTTAACATTGTTTCTGCTGCTTTTGGGAGAAGTGAGCACACTGTCACTGCTGATTAAAAGAGACCTGAGCGAACCAATGCAGTTTCTTCACCAATGAGCTGCTGCACAGCAGAGCGAAATCCCTATTGCAATGCATTGTCCTTGCTCCTGATACTACAGCAAGACAAAAACCAATTTAAGCAGCCCTAGTGGCTCAATCACTGGTGGCGTGATCATCACCAAACCAAAGGAGAAGTCATCTTTATTTTTAAAAATATATTCTCCTGCTTACGGTTGGGTCAACGCTCAGTTGTTGCAATCCCACAGCTGAGCCCTGTTAATTTTTCTCCAAGCCCAGCAGGGAAGGCATGTCCGCTGATGCTGAAATGGTCCCTTCCCATTGAGCTTCGCCTGTCACAATACAGCCAATATAATGGCTATGTCACAAATGTGATTTTGCTTTCTCCCACTCCAACACCACATTTGCTGCAGCACTGAAATGCCGCTTTGTGGCAACGTTCTTCCCTGGCTGTTGTCAGAAGCTGCAGTTTCGTTCGTACACTTTATCAGTCAGATTTGGTTTGGGGATGTGAAACTTGGGTTTCTGTAGAGAAAACATGACAACCCCATCCTACCAATACCTCTGCCTGTCAACCCACGATATGTTCATCAGGCTGGATGAGAGGTCAAATGCTGCAGTCAGCACAAACAGGAGTTCTGATATGAAGGCAAATGCACCTCGGTTTTCAAACATTATCCCATTTCCCTACATCTATCATCAAAGTAGGCAGCAGGAGCTCAAAGAATAGCCACGTACTATTTTCTGCAAGGTCAAAGGAATGAACAACATACAGTTTATGTCTGACAATTCTTAATTCATATGGACTGTAAAGATGCTGGAAAATGGGAACTCTCATTGAAAGATCTGCTGTTCACAACTTCAAATTTCATGCTGTGACCACCAATTTTGGGCTGCGGTGGCTGTTTTACAGAGTTTAAAATCCATAACACAGCCAAACTGCTTAGCATTAGGTTGTGTTCTAGTTATTTTAAACAACTAAACAAAATAAACTGAACATGTACCCTCCTGGAATCAGGCCTCTCACCTTCTCTTTCTCTCCTCTCTCCCCCCACCCCTTGTCACACATCGGCTTCTGCCAAACAATTCAGCACTGACACTACAGCACATCACGTGATACCAAGTGCTTCAAGCATCTTGCAATACTTATTACTATCTACACATCCATAAGTCATTCCGCCCAGCAACGTATGTGAATACTAACGTGAGCTATTTCTTTATGTATTAAAGATTTAGAGCTCTCCCGGATCCTTGGAAGAAGCTTTTCCACCAAACACTGAAAAATCATCCCTTTTATGTACGTGCGTCTCATCTGCATTTCACGTAGATTAGGAAGCATGACATAGGGAAAACCTGCTATATCCTCGGATTCTCCCATTCCTCCTGCTTACAATCCTGTGGCCACACAAGTCTGTCGTGATTAAGCAATGGATTTTAGACACTGGAGAACAAGGAAGGCACTTACAGGGGGTGTCCTTTCCCATGTTAGAATGGAAAGTAACAAATGTAAGAGGTTGCTTATTCTTAATGCTGATCTCCTCCAGAGCTAAAATGATATGTCAGTAGCAGGTGGCAAGTTTGAAGACACCCCCACTCCTCCTTTTTTTTTTTTTTAATAAATATAACAAAGGGCACACAGATTTGACCTAATGGGTCAACCATCAAAAGTTAAACTGATTTAAATAATTAGACCTAGAATGTCAGGCACCACTGCAAATAATTGCTCCTAATGCTTTTAGGATTAGATTGCTAATGAAAAGGCGCAAAAAGGAGGCCACTTGCAGTTGTGGAAATAAGTCAATTTTCTTTCCATATGTCATTTTCCCCATGTAGATTTGCTGTGAAATCCTAAGGAGTCATTTACAGCTTTCTCTCCAGAGCCACTGTAGTATATTACAATAGTTCTGAGTCATAAAAAATAGTAATAAGTCATCTTGAAATATTAGTTGTTTATACACTGTATTTATCAGGCACAGCAACATCTGCTCATAGTTCTGACATTTTCCAATGAAAGTGACTATTGCATATTGTTTTCCCCTTTAATTTGTGGAAAAACATGGGAGCCATTCAAATATAAACAGCATTCCGCAACAAATTTAAACCAGTTTTGGTCAAAGGACAGTTCATTAGCAGAATGTAATTCTGATGCTCTTAACTGGTTTCTGGCTGTTCTCTCAGATTTATTCTAACAGCAAAGTAACATCCTGGGTGATTTCAGTAACCGTCTGCTAAAACACTTGGTTCCATATATAATTCATTAATTCTATGTAAAGGTGTATACACCCCCGCCCCACTCGCAGATACTAACGCCAAGTTACCCGCCAATGGAAGCGCCGAGGCCACCCGAGTTCTCCAAGGCTGCGGACTTGGCAGCAGAAAGTTTCGAGTGCCCGGCCCCCGGGTGTACATCCGCGCTCCGCGGGGCCGGGCGCGGTGTCCGGCGGGCGCGGATCCCCCGGGAGGAGCGCGGCTGGTGGCCCCGATAACGGGGGGCGCGCCGAGAGCCGCCCGCCGCCGCCGTGCCCACTTCCACCTGGGACCCGGCCAAGCAGAAGTCAATAATTGACTTCCCCGCCGGCTCTCGCCCCGTATCGAAGGGGCCGGGCGCGGGCTGGGCGCTGCGGGCACCGCGGGGCTCCCCGGGCCGCGCACCGCGCAGGGGGCCGGCACGCTGCCTCCCCCGCCCCCACTCCCCCGCCGGCTTGGCTTTGCTTTTAAATGCAACCAGAAAAAAAACACAAAAAGCCTGGCTCCCCCCGCCGCCGAGCTGGCACCGGCACCGGCGCGCCGGGGGATGCAGAGCCCGGTCCGGCTCCGCGGCGCCGCGCACCCGGACCGGGCAGCCGCGGGCAGCCACCAGCCCTCCCGCTTCCCTCAATTGCGATGCCGAGCGCCTCGGCAGCGATATTGCCAGCCTGGACGTACAATTTAATTTTTTATTTTTTTTTTCAAACGGGGTGGACAGCTCTGCGCTGGCCGGCGCGGCCGGGGAACGCGCATTTCCTGCGGGGCACAAAGCCGGCGGGCAGGGGCTGGGAGGGTGCGCGATCCTGCTCCGTCCATTGCGTCCGAGATGGGGCCGTAACAAAAGCCAGAGACCCGCAGCGACGGGCAGAGCGAGCGGAGCCGGCGGGTCTTTCCCTCCGCGATCCCGAGCGACCGAGGGGGGCGGCGGGGAAGGGGGGAGCCAGGGCAAAAGTTCACCGCGGTCCCGGTAGGGCAGGGGGTGCTCGGTGGGGTTGGGGCCGGCGCTGGGGTTGGGGGATGCCGGCCTGGCTCGTCGCCTCGCAGCCCGGCGGATGGACCGCGGGCGAAAAGGAGGGGATGCAAGTCCCGGGAGCCCCTTTCCTGCCCTCTCCTCCACAATGCGGCCAGATCCCCGGCACAAACACGCCCCCCGGCACCCCGGGGCTCCGCTCTCTCCCTTCGGGGAAAAAACAAAATAAAATAAAATACGGCTCACTTGCAGGGGCGAGTGGGGATGGGGAGCGGGCGGCTGCTCCGGGGCTGCCTGCGCTCCCCGCCGCTCAGCCCCACGCCGGCCGGCCCCGGCGGGCAGCAGCTGCGGCCCCCCGCCCCGACCCCACCGCCGCCGGGGAAGGGGCAGCGCACACCCGTGCACACACACACACGCGCACACACACACACACACACACACACACACACACACACAAATGGCACGGGAGGAGGGGGAAAGTTTCCAGCCGCTTCAACCAAATAACCAGCATTTGCAACCCCCAGACAGGCACGGTGGCCGGCACAGCGATGCACGCCCCGGCCCCCAAAGCAACGGGGCAGCGCGCCGGGAGAGCGAGGGCAGGGGGCCCGGGGCACGGAGAGAGGGGGGCACGGGGACAGGAACGATCTCGGGATTTTTTCAATGGAAGTACCGCCGGTGCCGGGCACGGCTGATGCAGGGCAGGGAACAAGGGGATACCCCCGCCACCCCGGCGACTCTCCCGAGCGGACCCGTGCAGATGGGCAAAGCACCGGGGCTGCGAATAAAGAGCGGGGGAGCGGGGCTGGGCTGCACCGCGGAGCCCGGCAGCGCCCGGCCGCCCCGCGGGACCCGCGCCCGCGCCCCGCGCCGCGTTACCTTCTTATTGCATCTGGAGCAGCAGCTTTTCTTCCCCTTTCCCTCTCCTCCTCTCCCTCTCCTGTCCTCTCGGTTTATACCAGCCTGTTCCTCATCTCACAGCCTTCCTCCCAGCGCCATCTTGCAAGCTTGTGACGTTGGGAGCCGCTCACCCCTGACCCACATTTGAATAGAAGCCAAAATGAAAAAAGAAGAGGAGAGAGAGAGGGAGAGAGGAGAGAAAGAGGGGGAAGAAGAAGAAAGAGCGGAACAAGGATAGGCAGGGAAAGCAGCAGCTAAGCAATTGCTGTGCCAGTGTGGAACAGCATCGGCTCCGCTCCCTTGCCAGCTAGTTTAGTAATAAGCAATTTCCTGCTGTTGCAATAAATGTTGCCGCGACGGGGCTGGGAAAGGGACAGGGAGCGGGGTAATTCCCACCGAGGGACCAGGGCTTCCCCCACCCCGAGCAGCCCCCCCTTCCCTGCCACCCACACCCCGAAACCCAGCCTGGAGCCCGATCACTGCTCCCGGCAACCCAAATACTGCTGCTCCCTCCCGGGTTCTGAGCAATGAAAAAGGCATTTGTTAAGATTATTTCTCCCATCACTGATGAACTCTCAAGTGTGTGTTAAGAGAAATAATACAGATTACAGCTTGTACATGTGTTGGAATTTGAAATTAGCCTTATACACAAATTTATGGAACATCCTCATGTGTAGCACTATTTGCATATTAGCTTTTTGTCACTCCTGTCTATGTGTTAAGGACTGTCACTGCATCTTGCACCATCCAGGACACAGATACAGATGTGGCCCTTGCACCCACAAAATCCGTAGAATCTGAAGTTTTGTTTTGTGCATTTTTTTTAGTTATTTACGTATTGGAAGTGTATCGGGGGGAAAAGTTATTTGTATTTTGCATCACTGGTCCTGCAAGATTTCCATGCATGCTTAACTTGAAGCACATCAGTAATCACACTGAGCAAGAAGGGCTATTCGGATGCTTGCACTAAACATGTGCCCAGCCTGCAGACTCAAGCTATTATTTTGTAAAATGTTAAGTAAATTGATATCATCTTAATCTTACTGACAGTTGCCACAAAGTACAACTGTGCAGAAATCTGAATTATACCTTCGCAGTACTTTCTTCCTTCAGAAGCTAATTAATCTGTAATAACAGGAGCAATGCATATAAACATTTTTATTGTAATCATGCACAGGACTAAATCCACTATCCCATGTAAGAATCACTGTATTAGCTGCAAGTGTGAGATGATATTTTCTTTCCTTCTGTACCCTGACAGCCACCCATAACCAAAACTCTCTGTAGCCTGAGCAAGGTGATTCATTAGTGAAGCTGAGCCTACATTTAACACGTGCCTAATAATTCCCTAATAGCCACAACACCGGCGACTCTCTCAGCCACTTCCTGTGCAGATCCCTGCAGTTTGCATGCACTTCAGCTGGATCCCAGCTGCAGCCTAAGCTCTCTGTCCCTGATAATAAAGATATTTTCTAGTTGCTCATCCAGAGTTCAAAGTTTTTGCAGGAGATGGTTTCTTCAGCCTTACCAAAGTGGCTTGAGGAGCAAATAAAGATAAGGCAAATCACAGCAGCCATATCAGAAAGGTCTGGACTGGTGGTTTGTTCGCAGTACACCCAATAAAGAGCAGAACACTTTAACAGTGGTGAGAACAGCAAACCTGACTGTCAGCACAAGACCCAGTGAAGTAGATAAGGATCAATTCAAGACTCTTCCCCCACCAGGAAAGTTAATTTAAGATTGGTGGTGCTGCCCTTAGCTGTATTTTAAAGCTAAGTGGCCTTGCAAATAGCCAGGGAGGTGTAGGTAGCCATTTGCTTCATGCTGTGCCAGAGGAATTGGAAGGCAAATACACAGAAGTCCTTGCACTATGTTATCTAAACAGGGACAAAATGCATCACAGAGTTTTTTCAGGCAAGTTTAGACATTTGGGTTTAGAAAGACATGCTTTTGTCAATCTTTATGTGGCATCTCAAGACCTCAACAATGCCACCATCTGCCCTCATCTTCCTTCCGCTGAAGCTTCCCACCCCACAACAGTCTGTGTGCCCCTGCCAGTTCACAGACCAACATCTTAGTTCAAACCCGCTTTCATCAGACATTTGAACAAAGGTGCCAGGTTTTTCACAGGAATGGCTTGAGGCACAAGCATTTCAGCCTGTCTGCCAACTTTGCTAGGCAGGTGTTAACTTTTAAGAGTGAAGGGAGGGAAGAAGGTTGGGAACACGGGGAGAAACATCCTAAAATGCCACCAAGATTTAGTCTAAAAAGCTTTACTTGTATTTGAATCTTCTCTAGGTTTGGAGATGATCAGTTCCCAGCATCCCTAAGGAAACTGAGAGATAGACACATTTGCAGTGGTGAGAAGACCAAAAAAAGGATGTACATTAGCTGTCTGGCACCTAGAAATGATATGGTATGATGCAGTACTGCATCCAGCTTTATATAGGGGTGATAATTATAAGGTTGAAAAAGAATTAATGAGAAAGTTAGACCTGGCTCTGTCACTCGAACCATGGACATCTGTGGGGAATCTGATGAGCCAAGGAGAAGTATGGCCACACCTACCTGGAAAACATCTACAGGCACGCAAGGCAGATACCACGATACCTGTAATGTCTCCAAGCAACCACAGCCAGGGAACTTGCCATCCAAACAGAGGGTACACCCTCAAGTTCCAAGAAATCACACCCACTGTGGGCACATCTGGCACGGGGTGAAACGTGCCCATGTGTGTGAAAAGCAAACATGTTGCTCAGGTGCAGAGAGCAGCGTTCTCAGGTGAAAGACTGGACTAGGAGGGTAATGGTGGCACTCTGCTTACAGACACTGGCACAGTGAGTGTGTTCTGAAGGATGGTTTGGGCTTGTGGATACTTTAAAGAAATAGGCTCTTCTATTTCCAGCCTGATACTTGTCATTAACTTTGTTTTCTAATTTTGTTTGACTGTGGGGTTTTTAGCACTTATAATGAAAGGAGCACCGAGAGGATGGCAGCAGTGGATTGTGCTCTGCAGACACAAATGAAAGCTTCAACTTCCTCCTCACTGTGTTGATGCAACACATAAAATACTGTTCAAAACTATTGTTGAATGTAACACGTCCAAGGTAGCTACAACCAACAGATTTTTGTCCTAACAGTATACAAAGAATTCAGAACAAGCAGATTTCACACCATCCTTACATATTTGCCCTTAATATCTATTCACAAACAGCTCTGTAAAGCTGCTTTCAAGCAGTAAAGTTTAATGAATTGTATCCCCCCCACAAATAAATTGTTGTTAGTAAAATATTTAGACTCAGGTCAGTGACTTGAAACCCAGAGGGATTTCAGGGCTTCCGATTGTTCTCAGTCATTTTCAACAAACTGATGGGTTCAGAAGCAGCTCCAGCTCTTTGTAGCAGTTCTAACAGCAAGTTTATACTCATCATAGAACAAGAAGAGGACAGACGTAGAATTATTATAGTGGCAATCGAGTGCTGTGGGTGCAGAGTGAAGTAATTTGAGCAAAGAAAATGCCATTGCAGAAAGTAAACAGAATAAGGACCAAAGAGTGGCCGTGTGCCCTTACGGCTCTTCAGTGCCACCTGCCTTCAGTCCCAGCGCTGGTGGATGGCCAGTGCCATCTAGCAGGCAAAACAGTTGTTTACAGTAGGGAACCGATGAGTGAAGCTGGGCAGAAAAGTTGAAAAAAAAAGAGAAAAACTGTAATTCAAGGAACTGAGCAAAATATGCAAGGCAGAGAATACCAGTTTAGGGCTTAAGTCTGAGAGAGAGGTGAAAGTGAGGGATAACCAGCCTGCTCTCAAGAATAGAAAACGATTTAGCTCTAAAAATAAACAACAAAAAAATAAATTTCTTAACAGAGGCTTGCAGTCATTGTCTCTGCAGTGGTGTAGTTCTGACAGTGCCACAAAAAATGCTGAGGGCCAGAACATTGGTCTGGAACTGAAACAGGCACCATCTGAAGCATTGTAGTGACCCCGGAAACTGTGCTTGAATGGTACTGGAACAGCTGGTGATAACTCATGAAATAAAGAAGTTATTTCACTGTCCCTCCCAACAGAAATATCCCTCGACAGTCAGACTTACGTGTCTGGAAGGTTTTTTCCAAAAGACTCACAGGTGTCCATGGAGGACACTCCAATTTTATGCTAAAATGGGTTTGGAAAATCTTTTCTCTCTTAGCTGCAGATGTGCTATGTGTGAATACACATCCTCAGTAAAGCTCCTTCATTATGTGCTGGATTAGTTGGTTCCCCCGTTGCTACTTCTGGTCTTTTGACTGGCAGATGGACACACAGAACGTTACATTTTGACCTCTGTGTAATGATACCTGAATTTCTCATATCTGTTCCTGGTATTACCAATTCAAAACTTGGTACTGCACAAATTCTACAAGTAATTTTTCCACAGCTGAAAAGGAAATGAAAATAGTTTAAGAGACTCATACATAATCAAGGAAAATCAGAAACTGTAAATGTAATTTGAATCCTTAGTATCAAAAATAGCCACAAAGGTATCCAATTCAGAGCTAGTTTTATGCTGTGCCTGGTCACAGGTTCCCTCAGCTCTGCATTGGTTTGCCTTGTGAGGGTTCTGTTCAAAATAATGGGGTTAGAACCCAATTAAAAAAAAAACAAAACACAACAGAAGGTAACAGTTTCAAAAATTAGGTTAGTAGTTTAGTGCTTGTACAAGGTACTATTTTGTCCACTCTGCTTCTGTTGTGTTCTTTCTGATAGAAAGTTTTCATTTCCTTGGAAGAGAAAAAACATACAATATTTTTATTGCTACAAGCTGAAGCTTTTTGCTAGAAATTCTGGCATAGGCAGGGCTGAGGCAACGGGGTTTGTGACTCTAAATCATATAAAAACATTGCTTCCATTATAACAAGATCTTTGATTTCTGTTGGCCTGTGAATTTCATTGCAAATATGTTTACTCTGTACCTGTCTACAAAACATCTGTATTTAACTATGTCTACCCTGTTGGTTAATATAGTCTGTGCAATGGCATCATTGCAATGGGCTGTGGGAGAGCAATAAAAGTAAGGAAAGCAAGTGATTAACAAACCCACTACCTATGTGTGCTCAGAATAGAGAGAGATTTGCTGAAAATAACTCCCAAATAGATGTCAGAAGGAAATGAAATCAAAAATGAAACATTTCTTCGGCCATTTAAATAAACAGGGAACAAGAAAAGAACTGGTGCTACTATGAATTGTGTGGACAAGGAAAAGATTAAAAATACTTTTGTACCCAAAATCTAAATGAAAGCTTTGCCATAGCTTTAA